GAGTTTTATAATTGTAACTAATAGTGATCACGATAAGCCCTCAGTATTTCATTTTAATCTAACTCCTTTGAGCCAGAAAACTGAAGGAGGCCTGGAAAGTTTGTAAATCAGGGACAATAAGAGAGATGTGAGGAGGGTTTGTGTAGCATTGCACTCAAATACACACACACGATGTAATTGCCTGTTTTATTTAGTGGAATCACTTTTGTGATTAGAAATAATTCCAATTCCCGTTTACTCCAATGCAAGCCTCCACCATCGACAGGCGTAACGCAGTTTGTTCAACTGATTCCAAACCAAAAAAAAAAAAAAAAAGGAAAAAAAAGAAGAAAAAAGTACAATCTCAAAAGTTAAGTTAGAAACTAAGTTCACACATTTTCTTTGGGACCAGGAATCTGTACATAGTACAAAATATACATTTATTGAACTTTCTGTAAACACACAGTTTGAATTGTGTAAAACTGTAAATAGTGGGTGAACTACGTGGAGAATAATTTATTATATATTGTTATACATTCTACTTAAGGAAAATAGTTATGCTCTTGTATATTACTCTGTTAAATTTATAAATTCCATAATGAAGCTGTGTAATCTGCAAACATGCTTTTCAAGCTTAAATCTCTCCATTCGTAACACACATTTATACAGGTCATCAATGAAAAAAGTTACACTTTCCACAAAATAGATATAAAGAGGTCATGAATTTTCTAAAAAGACAGGCACAGCATGTCACTACAAACGAGACTCTTATGGTACGGTGTGGAGTCAATTCTGTGAGAAGACAGGTGAAAACTCTCTAATTCAGCATGTTTGTACGTGGTCTTAGGAACAAGACAGATGCTAGAACCCCAAATCTCTGCTTATAAAGATTTATAAAATAGCCAGTCCTGGAAGTCAAAAATCACACTTTTCAGATATCCAGCACCCCCTGGCTGGGAGAGCCTTGGCTTTTGTCTCCTATCAACTCTTGGTCACGAGTAATTGAGTTTTCCGAGCAGTGAAATACCCGGCACCATTCCCCAAGAACTTTTGCATAATTCAGCACTTACTCCAAAAACCGGATTCCTGGCACCACAGAGTGAGATCTGGTTAACAAATACAATTTTAATTCTGGGTGCCCAAGGTCATCAGCAAGAACAGGCTGAGAAATCCCAACTCCACCTCCCAAGGGCTGTAGGATGTTAATCCACAGCATCCCAACACTGGGGACTCCAGTGTGCAATGCCCAGCTTCCAGTTTAAGAGGCTGGAAATTCCAAATTGCAGCAGACTTCTCAGTCTGGCATCACTCAGCAAGAAAAAAAAGTTCCCCTATAAACACTGTCAAAGGTCCTTTCATAGAATGGTCCATAGAATGGTCTGGATTGGAAAAGCCTTAAAGATTGTCTAGTTCCAACCTTTCAGGAGTCCATCACTGGACATGGATATAATTCTATGTAAATTCAGGACATTTATTCCTACATTTTCAGGGTCTCTTTGTCTTTCCATCCTGGATACATAATTTTGGATTTCATTTAGTTGCAGCTAAAAGCACTGCATCAAAGACAAAACCTCTTAAACTGTGCTCTTCTGAGGTTTTAAAAGTAAAAAAAAATCTTAGATATTTAAAGAATTAAGAAATTAGATTAATCAAACATTTTGCTTTAACATTACCACTGTCTTCCCTTTGGCTTTGAAAAGCTTTTTCAATACCTAAAGTGAATAAAGATTGTTTTTCATTCCAAGAGAAGCGGGACAGTTAAGGCTCCACCAACATTTAAAAAATTTGTATATTGTGAGCAAAAGCTCCATCAGCATCAGCAGGATGTAAAGTTAAGTTTTTGCCTGATTTTCCCAAGTCTATCTGGCTCTAATTTTCCCCTGTTGTGTGAACAAAAATAATGTGATCCAGCCTGAAATCCCAACAGTGAAAATGAAATCGGCCACCCAGTATTTGCACTGCTCAGACTGGCTGGAGTTCAGTAAGAGCTGAAATGAAACTCTGGACCTTAGTGTACAGGCATAGATAGAATAACAGTATTGAATGTTTTAGGACCTGCCAATCTGATTTGTCATTTTTCTTAGAGGTATTTCTCAAAATAAATAACAATGGCAGCTCCTTCAACTCCAGAGACCTCCTCACAATCTGCATGGGGAGTCCTGTCCACCTGTAAAAGCCCCACATTCCCACCAAGCTCTTCAGAGCCAACACTTCAAGGAAGAGAAAAGGAATTTCAGCTTTGCCTCAATGTTAATGAGCAAGCTGAGAAGTGCAGATGTCGTGCTCCTAAAGGGAAATGGTACTGCCTGACACAGCACCCACACTTCAGGTAAATGGCTGGTTACTCAGTAGTAAGGACCATTGGTTTTATTCTTCCCATTTGGAAAAAAAAGGGGAAAAAAAAGAAAAAAGAAGAAAGCAGGTGCCTAGTGATATTTTAAAAAGCATTTGGACAGGAATCAGTTCAAGTTATGTGTAAAAATCTGGCTATGCATAAATCACTCTAGAAATCTGACCTGTCATCCCACATTTCTACCCAAGTTTTGACACTTTCAGATTTTCTTGGTTCTATAAAAGGCATTTTTGAAGTTAAGCTCACTTTCCCAACTTTTGTGGTGCAAAAGTTAGGGGGTTTTGTGGTCATTGCATATAAAGCAAGCCTCTCCCAAAACACTTTCCTAAGACATCATCATCACTCCTTTTCCCTTAGCCTGGAAGCAAAGACTTTAGAAGAATTTGTACAAGAGATGAGGAAAATAAAGATCTGTTTTACTGCTCAAAAGGAACATCAAACAAAAACACAGAGAAAAGGAGGAATATGCACAAAGCCTAAGTAACTACAGGTCAGCAGCTCTGACACAATCAGGAGATTAAAGCTCCAGACATTTTTGTCACATATTAAGTAAATGGTAGAAATATTTGTCATTTTTCTAGAAACAAATTGTCAATGGGAGACAATGTAAACTCAAGTTTTAACATGTCTATTTTTTTCTACTTGAATGCCTTTAGTGGTCCATGATACTTAAGAAAAGCTTCAAGTTTTCCTACAGCTTCCTGACCTCCTGTGAACATGTGCCATAGCCCAGGTGGCTGCTACCTCATTTACAAAGCAATGTTATTGGCAAAATAAGGCTCCAGAGTGCTTCAGATGTGCACACCTGGGTCTGCAGAAAGCTGCAGACTATGCAAGCACTCCACAGAAAAAGCTCACAAAAGATTGGATTCTCTCATCAGAATTTCAGACAGGTCAAAGTTATTTAGCCACAGAGTAATACTTTTAAATTCAGCTCCTTTTTTACAGCTAGTAGCAGGAATCACATTCATTTTCTTGTGCTACAGCATCCTGGAAATTCATGTTTGGAGCCTCTTTTCCCCGCTTAAAGAGTCAAAAAACCTCTCCAGCCAGATGGAGAGTTTACACCCTGAACTGTAAGGCTCAGAGATCACCTGACACAGGCAGTTGTAAAAAGGAGCCACACTTGTTATCTAGGAGACATTATCTTCTTATCTGGTGAAGCTTGGCACCAAGTAACAATTCATTTTCTACAAAGAATGTCAGGTACAGCCCTGTAGCTCTACAGTTTTGCTATTTCTGAACCTAGGCAAGGTACATCAGGTTTGTATCAAATACTGTATTTGCCAAAGGATGAGGAAAAGGGCACTGCTTTCCTAAAGGTTAGCCCCTTTCAGACATGGCCAAGTTCAAATACCAAGGAATTGAAATACACCAAGTCATTTGTGCACAAAAGCAGTTCAAGAAGGTGCAGGTAGAGATGGAGGTGAACACCTCGGCATGATGCAATCCTGATGTACACTGAACTAAGGTAAACTGTAACAACCATGTCATTAACCTAATTGTGGCAGCCGTGCTGTCTCTCCCACAGGACACGGCTCCAAACCTCTAGAGAATGTGAACACAGAGGAAGATTGTCAGCACAGAACTCACACACAACATTGAGACCAAAGTTTGATGATTCCAGTTTAAAGAAAAGAAACATTTATCAAACAAAATATTTGTCTTAAGTGGGGAAAGATCTGCAAAAGCTTCGATGCTCCCTACACAGGCCATCATTTATCTGGGTGTGGTTTCCCAAACTGTGGCAGGAGGGGTGGGGCAACCATTCCTTTGCTCTCAGTCCTGCCTCCCCACTCTCCATTTTTCCCTAGCACCAGCACCCCACAGCTGGATTATCAATTTACCCAGCTCAAGAGGACAGGTTTTTTCTTTCTCCTTAACTGCACACCCATGTAAGGACAAGCACTGGCACAACAAAAGGCAATAGGGGCAAACTAGGAGAGATGGTTTAGTCTTGGCATAAGATCATGAAACCATACCCTTATACCATAAGCTACTAAAAATGGAATGCAACAGGAAGTGTCTCCTATCCAGGGTATAAAATTAAGGTGGGATTCTTATCAGGAAATCAACTGAAGTGAAAACTGATCCCTAATTTTGTTAAATCATCTTGAACTGAGCAAAATGGCTCAGACATGAACCCATACAGTGACAGCACCAGCTTTGCAATAAATAATGTGATGGACATTGAAGTCAGTTTGCTACAAGATCAGCTTTGGCGCCTGCAGGAACTCTCAAGGTAAGCACCACCATGACTCAGCTGCTGCTCAGGATTCAGCAGGAACCTCGCTGACACAACCTACGACTGCTGCAGTTCATTTAACACAAGCTGATGAAATTCCTCCCTCCAATTCTGACTCCAGCTCAAAGTTTAACTGAGTGATGGCCGTGCCTCAAGGCCATGGTGCTGCTGCTCCTGAGCCAGATGAGAGCAAGCCCAGCTCAAAGGCTCAGGCTCTGCTTCTGTCCCAGCACAAGTTCCGGGGACTCTACGGATACAAAGGATTTACAAAGCCTTGCAAACCTAGGATTTAATTGTCACTGCATTTAGCTCGTTCAACACTGGTTTAAAGCACATTTTAGAAGCCTCTGTCTTGAACATATTTTCAATGCTGAATTAGCGAGAATTATTTGGAACAGTTGTCTATAAAGCAGTTTACAGGTATTCTCCCAGAAAGATCAGTGAAACATTTAATCTGACTATAACAAAGCTCACAGAAACTGTAGCCAGTGAAGCTGTCAAATGTAGAAGGAAAACAAAGTTGCATGGCATACGAAGCAAAGTAGCTTTACAAATGTCATTTCCTTTTAAAAACAAGCAAATCGGGACCATCCTATTTGAACATGTATTTAAAAATACATCTGTTAACATCACACAATTTTCATTTTTGTCACACAGGAATCTTTTTCCAAGAGGGAAATAAATAGCACACAATATTTCAAAATAAAAATTGCTGCCTTGCCCCTGAGGTGCTAATGTTTTTAGCATTTAAAAAAAAAGTTTCTGGTGCAAGAAGGAGATGCACAAAGGTGCAAAAGTGCCTTTTTCTTTTCAGAGCAGTGAAAAAAGTACATCTTGCCTCTTTTCTAGGATGCTTTATATACTTAACTCGTTTATTCTGTAATCAAAGTCTGTATCTAAAATGGCAGTGTTTATGCATACATCATAATTCAGTGCTCTGAGCTCATCAAAAAGCTGAATGTAGGCGGGAGAGAGAAAGGCCTGAAACGGGCTTTCTGCCACTACCCTCAAACCTACTCACATCGCCTGTAGCAACAGCAGAATTATTTTCTTTCTAACCTTCAGGAGACCTCGTCAGAAGAGGCTTCAGAAATCTCCTTTGTCACTGAGACAGTTTAAGTGATTATGGTTTGAAGTATGGCTTTTCACACCACAGTTTTGCTTCTGATTTTTAAAGTTTAAAACTCAAAGGTTCCACAGTCCAGTTCAAGGTTTTGCAGTTTCCAAAACTAAACTTTAGTCTCTATGAAAAAAAGGACAGAACTTTATCTGCCTAGTCCTAAATTAAGTTTAGCTTTTCACACTAATACGCCATGTATTATTAAATATGCTCGTTAATTAGGTGCCTGTGAAGCTATAACTTAACATCATTATAGTTTTGCACTCTACAACAAAATTAGACATTTTAAGCATTTATTCATAGGTAGGTAAGGAACTGGTTCTTTAAGCAAAAATTGCTATAAATTTATAAATACAAATAGTGCTTATGTTTTCTTCAATCATGCTTGAACAGATTACAAACTGAATACAATGAAGTTACGTTTAAGCACCCCACATAGACAAGAGGGATAAAAGAAAAGTTTGCTGGTATATACTATACTTAGTTCCAAGACACTATAAGTTACTTTTTCACTGTTCAGTGTTCCCTAACTCTGCATTAGTTTTAAGGCTATATATACAAATATGTATATGTCAAAGTTAGGGAAAGACAAATATAGCAAAATGCATTGTACTACATTTTCCTATCAAAAAGTAATTATACACCAAGTTCTGAGTCTGTTTAACTGCAGTAAATGTTACAATCTACTTGTTTTACTGATTTTCCTTTTGAGGAATCTGCCTACTAAATGAGTAAACTACATATTAAATACAATATTCTCAACCAAAAAGACAATACAAGGTGCACAAAACAGCAGTTTTGCAAACACGACTGACTTGAAAACTTAATTTTCGTATGCTCAATGGGAGAAAGCTAAGCTTAAATCAAATTAGTTTATTATCTTATAAAATTTTAAATTAGAATTTTAAACAACAAACAGTTAAATATTGTCAACATGCTATACCTCAAATCACAAGTACTGTTTAACCACTAGTCTCTCATTCTAAGTAAGAGGGTCAATTAAAAACACACACCATAAAATGTTAAAGATTGTCAGGCTTTAACAAATGTATTTTTATCAAACAGTAGGCAAATTCAAACCAATGCACATCTTCAGTAGGGAGGGGCAAAAAACGAAAAACAAACCCGACACCAAAAAGCCTGAAAAACCCCACATTTGTAAAAAATAGGGTAACAGATTAATCCCACATCATCCTCTAGCATATGGCTATGTCTTGGGCAATAATCAAAATCCTTCCCATTTTAAAAATGGGCTACCAATTAAGAAAAATATTCTTCCACAAGTAAAATATCATTTACAATGGCACTGACATTTTAAAAGGCAGGAAAAGAAGGAATTACACATTTATGGGTAAATGTCTTGTTTGTTAAATCAAGCTTTATTGATAAAATGGAATTCAGAGTACTTTTCTTGGAACAGCAGCAGACCCAGCCAATCAGGATTGTAAAAATGCTGCAGACTCTTACTTTATGTAGAAAGTTGTCTTCGTGCTCAGTGATTAGTAGTTTCAGGTAAGGGTTAATGAAGAAAGAGGTGCAAAGAACCAAGGCATTCTAATCCCAAGATTGGTACATGTATGAACAGGATACTGTTAACAGGGCACGATTTAACTCCCACTGAACTCAAAATCACAAATCCCTTCGACTCAACATGAGAGCAGGAGTGCATCCAAGAAAATTATATATGTTTGTTGAAGAATGTGCACTACTCCTAAGCTAATTTTCCATTGCCAAGCGGAATTCACACACTGTAATTTCAGGTAGGTTGCCCATGAGTTCAGCTTTCATATAAACCAAAAAGTTATCTTTAACAGTTTTGTGCACCTCTTGAGCACCTAGCTGGCTAGGCTGCTGCTCCTTGCAATCCAAAACCACAACATGATTTTTAAAAGGGATATATATTGTTGCATCACACAAGCCAAAACATTTCTTCTAACCTTTATAGTGATTTAAAGCGGTTCATAATTAAATATGAGCATTTTGTACAAAGACAATTGCACTTTACAAAAACAAAATCATACAACATAAATTGCTGGAGTCTGATTTACAACATGAATTTATGGTTTGAAATCACGTTTACAGAAGTCTGTTTTACAAAAAAGATCAGTTCCTGGGCTAGATGTCGTACTGCTGTAGTCACTCTCACCAACACATCATATTCCCTTCTTTAATTAAGGTTGAGGATGGATGTTAAGAAGGGTCACTGAGGTTGGGCTGCATTTTCATTTGCAGGATGAAACGTGAACTCCACAGCTAGATGAGCAGTTTTACCACATATCATCAGTTGAGGCAGAATCCTTAAAGAAAAAAGAAGGAACCCTTTAAAGTCTGGAGTGCCCATCCTTGCGGCAGTTTCTGGATAATCCAGACTGAAAAGGGTAAAGACTTAAATCATTTCAGGAGTCTGTTCTTTCTCCCCTTCAGAAAGAGCTTTTTAAAAGTATCTAAACCCCACATATTCTTAATTAACGAAACATTAGAACAAAGAAATTTCAAGATATGACTGTTTCATCAATCCTGAAAATAAGATCCTAGGAATGTTACTCAAAAGCATTTCCAGAGCCTTTCTAGTTATTTCCTGAGTAGTTAGAAGTAATACAAAATGGATACACTCAGCTCACAGGTGCGAGAAAAGAGCAGGATGTGCTCATGCCATGTGTTATCACCATTATCATCTTTTGTGTTCTCAGCCCTCCCTCGCTGCATGGGAAGATACAGACATCAGCTGACACCCTGTTATAACCCAGAGCTATTTTAACACTTTTAATTTAAGGTTACAGAAGTGTAGTTGAGGCAACTGAAAGAAATCGTAATTTTGGATGGTAATAAAACCACAAGGGGAAGAAAATATATGTATATACAAAAAAAAAAAATTAAAATTGAAAGTTGTGCTCCAAATAATTGCATGGCCACACTACTTGGTATTTCAACCTATCCAATACCTGAATGTCCCAAAAATTCATTCAATTTAGGCCCACAGGCAACAGCAGATTTTGTATAACTACCACAAGCCTGACAAAGGTTTAACCAATTCCTGGTTTAACCAGTATTTATTTTTACCAAGTGTTTTTTAATCCAGTTGCCTCTGTGTCAGGCCTGTTTCCTTTCCCATTGCTTAGACTGTTCTATATTCAGCTTTCTCTACCAGCCTCATCAGGTGGGCTCACAGGTTAACCATGAGCAAGTGGGGCCACAGCTCTGCAGCTGAAGTAACAGCTGAATCAGCAGCACAGGAATCAGAGCAAACTGCTCCTTGTGCACCACCTTTGGTTGTTTCAGCATCACCTTTAGCTCCTTTCCCCTAAGCAATTAAGGAGCAGGATAGGTTTTTACAACAGCACATCCTGGTGCTTCCACTGCTACACCTCTCCATCATTACTGAGGCTGCAGGAGCTAGAAATATTGCTGCTCTTCAAAAGCACTGCCTTGGAGAGGAAAGAGGCTAATTAAGTCTCTAGCAATGCTACACATGATAATTTCTTAGCACTGAAGTTCTGCACCCTTCATTCAAACTTGCACACAGAATCCATTACAAACCAGAGAGGAACAGTTGGCACGGAGGTGTAGTTAAAAAATACAAACTGAAATTGCCCTTTGAAAAAGTACCACCTCCAGCTTTTCCTTCAAGACCAGAAGTAGCAAAGGAGAGCAATTATATGAAAGAGCAAAATGCTTGTTTCAAGAATGAAGAATAAAAGCAGCATGAGTAAAAATTCAAGAGCTGCTTGCCAACTATTCCATATGCAAATTTCTGTATCCCAGTTGCCAACATTAGCAAAAAGTTTGTGTACTGTACATTTGTAGAACAGCAACATACTACAGAATGTATTTTGAAGGTAAAGCATCCTCTTTCAGCCCCTATTCAGGAATTTTTATGCTAAAAATAGAATGAAGGCTGCCAAATAAAACTAGTGCACAGTTGTAAAGCCAACGCACAATCTTTATGTCTGGCTGCATTTCACTTCTGTCACATCCAAGCATGTAAGTAATTTCTGCTGATGGTTAAAGGATCAGTTTAACTGCTCTATGACAGACTGCACTTTCAGTGACAGAATGTTGTTTCTGGTGATCAAACTGCCACTGGAATCAAGCTCATGTTCACTGTTTGGCTTTTCTTCCCCCCATCCTGACAGTGGATTTATGTCTCTCTCAGCATTGACATACAAGAACCCAAAGTGTTTGCTTGCTGTAAGATGCTCTATGCTTAAGAATAAAAGTGTTTACACAGTCCATTTGGTAAACTAATATATTCTTAACACATCCACTTAACCTTTAGATTTTTTCTTCTTGATATTTAGGGAAAAACGTCTCCTATAAAGAAGAGGGAAAAAAAGTCCCCCATGACTCTTTCCACCATTTGGCAGCACTTGAAAACCCAAGAAGGATTGAAATAATGAAATTTCAGAGGACAAATGAATCAACCCTACTGGAGTTTTGATCAGCACAAGGCAGCAGAAAACAATTGCAAAATACAGTCCAAGAGCACAACAAGGTTTTTCCTTTCTTGGGGGAGGAGTCTTCAACAGGAATTTGCAATATCTTTCTTCACAAAACAGCTAAAATAATTGGAGTGGGGAGAAAGAGAATGTAAGAGAAAAGATACTTACAGCATCATCGTTCCTGTAGGGATTCAGTCTGTTATACACAGCTTCAATCACACTCCGTCTAGAGCAAAACACAAACAAAAAACCCACAAGATTTTAAGGCTGTGTTCTTTTTTTTTCCCCAAGTCAAATTCTCAATTTTAATTTAAATGCAAACTTTAGAAGATTCCAAATTCACGGAACCACGTTTACTGCAAGTTAGCACTGTCCTTTAACATTCCATATCCATTAAAACCTTTAGGCTCAAGACAAACAAGGCTGAATATCTCTCAGAGTTCAGCAGGAGAAGGGCACAACCTGACAGTCAGGCCTTCATTTTGAAAAAGGGCAGCAGAAACCTCAGTGGACATTGAATGTCCTGGTCATTTGTGTGCCCAAAAACCCCTGCAGCAGTGCCTCATGTACTATGGCATGTATTAAGTATTACTTCCATAGGGGAACAGTGTTGTGTTATTTTCTGGACACACAAAAATTACATTCTGAAGTACATTTTTGTTCATGCTACAGAAAAAAGTAGTTCTAGAACAGTACTCTTCTATAATGACATACCCAATACTTTCCTGCAATTTTTTCTTTAAAACAAACAAACAAACAAACAAAAAAAGCTAATTGCAGTTCTGTGTATTGTATCTTCAGAGATAAATTTTGTCTGGTAAAAAAATATTAAAAAATTTTGCAAGCATTTTGACAGTTACCTCTTTTTAAAAAGGCCCATACTTAGCATATTTAAGATAAGCTTAAAATTAACCTTTATCTCTGGGATTCTTGACTTTTCTAATACTGATAGAAAATTGATAAGAAATAAAGTGATAAAACATGAATACAACATTTGCAATCAACATGCAAATGAGCAACATGACTTTTATTTATTTAACATAGGATGAAAAACTGAGAATCAAAAAACCCCTTGAAAATTGGTAATAAAAAACCAAAACAACAAAATACAACCCAATGTGAGGCTGAAGGAAGAAGCTGCCTTTGCCTTTCCTAGTATATATGAAAAAAAATTTCAGAGGGAGAACCTCCAAAAGGAAGGAGGGGAGTAAAAACACAAATTGCAGATTGGATTTTAAATGCAACTTTCTTTTGGATCCCCTCCTGCAGAACCAAGTAAGATGAAGTAGCAGAATGTGATAAAAAACAAACTTCAAAGAACAACCTTTAAACTGATGAATGCATGCAGAGCAATCACAAAGGAGTGCAAGAGAAGGAAAAAAGCAGATGACAAGCTTTGTAATCATCCTGCAACACTGAAGAGTCAGGAACTACCATGTATAAACATCATAGTGAATGATTATAGGGCATGAAAGAAGAGGCTGGATTTAAAGCAGTAAAATCTAGCAATTACACACAAAGTACATTGCATATGTGGATTGGAAAGTTTCCCATATCTTTCAGGAAATAGGTATCTTTGATTCTAAATACAGGCAGGTTTCCTGGAAAGCATTTTCCTTCCAAATTGGCAATACTGCTTTAAGTTACATTAGCAGCCAATTAAATCAATATTTTTCTAAGTCCTACTCAAACTAGCATCACTGAGATACAAAATCCCACTGAAGTCACATCACTTCAGCATTTCTTCACAACCACAATGCTACTTCTAGCCAAAGCAGATTAAGAAAAATCATTTTGTATGCTGCATTTCATGAGTAACTGAATCACTCACACTTCAACATTACAGCAGCCCATCCTAAATAAGCTGTTATACTTTAAATATAGTGTATATATATAAGGATGCTATTATACTTTAAATTGACATCTCTTCTCCTAGTCATACAGTTCCTATAGAAACAATATTGTTTTCTAGAAGCCATCTTTACAGTTATAACTTTATAATTTATTCAATTAATTAATGTATGATTTATTCAATTACATGCTTAAAGTCCTGATGTTTTGGTGTAACAATACAAAGGTCATACTCTGAAAGGCTAAAAATACTCTCTATCATATGTGCCCAATCCATTTTAACACAGCACAAGATCCTGAAGAATCTTTTGAGCCAAAAAGCACTTGCTTTGGGGTGTAAACAAGCTGAGCATGTGGCTTCCTTAGAGACTGAATATTTTAGAAACCACAAAGCATCACCACTGAACCTTTCAAGGACAAAGTCAGCTATATAAAGCTACAAATTTAACTTCCCACCTTTCCTTTTTGATAGACTTCCCTCTTGCTTTCAGATTTGTCACAAGCAGAGAGGAACAAAAGCAAATTTTTAAGCAATTACAACATGGCTACAGACAAGAAAAGAAAGTTGCCAAGCAGAACATTTTATGCATATCACTTCTTGCTGAAGTGTGTAACACTTCAATACAAGTAATTAAAGTCAGAGCATTATTTTCACATGTTCAAATGCAGCATCCCCCCAGAAACCCCAAGTAATTACATAAAACAGACACTCAGGCCACCCTTAAAAACCCCTCATTCCTTCCCAAAAGTATGGTTTGACATTTAATTTTTGCAGTGATTCATAATCAACTCCATTCTTAGGCTTGTCCTTTTCATCCAGAACAACTGAGTAATAAAAACTGGAGAACAGATCATCACCTTTTGTCCTGTGCCCTTCCTCCCTCCCTGCCCCCCCCAACTTTTAAGAGTGGCCTTGCAGTTAAAATGTGATTTAAATCAAACCCCACACGTGCACTGATGTGAACTCACTTGCTTGCCAGCTCCCCCCCCGGCGGGAGGTTTGGGATGCTCTCAGTTGCTAACGTACGCATCACGTGGACTAAGTCTGGCACTCCTTCACCCTGCTTCTTTATGATCTCTGGGAATCAGAAGTACTTTTTTTGTAAGTGCAGTCCAAATTTAACTTAAAAAGATTGAAACACTCAGTTTTATAAAAAGGCAGCTTAACATTAAAAAAAATTAAAGTGACAGACCGTACTCAACATGGTAATTGTTAACTTTGGTTCCATAAGGAAAAACCTGTAACAGATTTGACACAGATTTACTGCTGTTAAACATGCTGACTTGGTTTTAGAAATACACAGCTACCTAGTAACAGTGAGGAAAAAAAATCTTTAATGGCTTTCCTGCTATACATTAGGTAGAAGATGTGATATCTTCCCACAGTATGCCCAAGGCATGGGGCAGATATTAACATCAGCTTTATCACTGCAACACAAGATAAAATAATATTGCCATCACAGAAAACATAATATTTTCAAGACATAAAAAGTTACACACGTCAGAAGTAATTCCCATGGCTGTATGTGTATTAACCAATACTTGTACCTCACTGCATTACAGCAACATGCAAATTTTAAGAACTACTACACATAAATTAAGAGCCAGGGACATCACATCTAATTGACAGTTTCATCCTCAACTCAGGAGATATTTAAATTCAGGGCAGAAACTTAAAGCTGATCCACTCCAGCTTCTGGGTGAAGAGAATCTATATTGTAGCCACAGCCACGTTTGTCAAGGCATTCATTCTTTAACTTTATTCTTAGGCCTGGTTGGTTTGGGTTTTTGTTTTTGGGTTTTTTTTGGTGTTTGCTTTTTTCACTTTTCTCCTCAAGTCAAAAGCACACAATTTTATTTGAATTCAAGACATTTCAGACCATACCACCCTTGAAGAGTCACTCTTTAAATAGTGATTTTTATGAAGTTTAAAGACCATTTTAAAAAATGCATCTCATTCATTTCTCTGTAAGCATGAGGTCTCAGAAATTGCAGAACACATGAATTATTAAGACCTGGTGCTGTTCATCTTCAAGTGAATACTGCAGCATGTGTACAATAATGTGTACATATGTGCACATCTACACATACACACTACTCTTCATGTAATAAAGCATTTACACAGTTTGAAAATAGTTGGAATTCATTAGAACCTCCTTTGAAAAATACTCAAGCATTCAGATTTTGCCCTAAATTCCAGAAGAACATACCAAGTTTCCATTTTATAATTTGTAAGATAAGGCACATTGAAAGCTTTTAAAACCAACACATAACCAGTCCTTTTTAGTTAAAACAAAACAAAACCTAAAAAAACAATTGTGAATTACTTTTTGTGTATGCAGTGGTTTTTCAGGGCTGTGTGTGTTTACAAAAACCATCAGCTCTGTTTTGCAGTCAGGCTGTGTAAATTATTTGCAAGGTATAGTGGAAACACTGCCTAGTCCTCAACCAGCATCAAACTCTGCAGCACAAAGCTTTAAGCTGTTTACTTCAAAATCTAAATTTTAAATATGTGACCCGCACACCAGAGACACCTCAAAAACTTGCCATTTCCTCAAAATCTACAGCCAAAGTTCATTTTACCATCTAGTATTTAGCAAAGAAATAATCTATGAATCTTAAATCTGAATAAGAAGCCAAGATCTCAGATTTGGTTTGCCAAGTTCCTTTATTGTGCAATTTTGAACATCTAGAATATGCTACATTGTGCTAGTGCTAAAGTTCTGCTGTACAAAAATAAGGAATTTATAGTTGACCTATACTACACAGTTTCACAACCTGTAACTGCAGTACATTTAACATACAGTCTCCACTAAATGAATACATTTATATTTTGATAAAACTATAGATACAGACTGAATGAACACTGAAGACACAACAAATGGAGTCGGTCTGCTAGCTGGGTTTAATTTATTGGAATTATCTTGTTTCAATACACCTTCAACCCTCCCCCCAGTCTTTAATTTACTTTTAAACCTTCTACACATTTTCATGGCATCAAGTACTGGAAAAATGTACTTACAACCCTAAAATAAAGGTTTCAAAAATGGGAATTCCATACAAAGTTTAAGAAAAAGCCAGAACTTTGTTTATGTGAAAATTAGGGAAGGAACATATAACAACTAACTTAAAATTATTTATCTCTACATAGGTATAAATATTGCAGGGATTATCTATTATGGAATGGTTTTATGTAAAAAAAATGAGAACAAAAAAAAGGCTTAGACAAGTTTTTTTTTAGAGTCAACACATCAATAACACATATTAGTGCAAATAATAGCAACACATTTTGGAATGACTGATTACTTCTACCATGAAGTTCACATGATACTTTAGGAGTAACATTGATTTATTGCAAGTAATGGCACAAGGATGCTTCTCCACACTTGCTGCTTCTTCCATTATTTGTTGCAGCTACAAATCTGGACCACCAACACATCAGGAGAGTCTTAAGCAACATGGTAAGAAGAAAAGTTTCTATGTTTTTAAAAATCAGAATCATCTCTTCTTATTCAAGATGACCAACATTATTAAATCCTATTCAGTCTTAAAATTTGCACTAGTTTTTAACAGTATAAAGGTATATTCTGGGCTGAGGGGATAAAAATACAACCAGAAAAAAAAAAATGCACACTAGAAAGGATCGACTCTCATTACTTGCTGGACTTCACTGAGTACTGAAGTGCATAAAAATATATAATATGCATTTTGACCAAGTTTCCATTTAAATGAATTTTAAATTTAAATTGATATTACAGATTAGTAAGATCATTCTAAAAGTACTCTTTATATTTTTTAGTTCTTTCAGCCAAAAATCAGGCTTTTAAAGTTAAGCTCTGCCACTCTTATAGTATCCTAAGACAAGAGCAAGATTATTCACTGTAGTGTATAAAGTTTCAGATGCTGCAGCAGTCCTACCTTACTAGTCAATAAGGCATTATCCATTTACTTCAGTAACAATGCAATGGCATAGGAATTAAGTTAAATATAACAAAGTTATCAATTCCTATTCTTGAAATTCTGCCTCAATTCAGGCCTTTCAACTTTCCTCATGCCAAAGTCTTAAAAGGCCAAATTCTGCAAACAGCTGATACAAATCACTGCTGGGTTGAGTACTGTTTACTAAATATTAATTAATTTAAATAATATTTTTGTGCAACAATAGACAAAAGATTGAGGATAACTCTAAAAATTAATCAAAGACCCTTGAGGAGAAGTACAATATATTTCCTCAAGTTGTTCAAACATCATCCCATTAAATTAGTGTTAAAGTGCTTTATAACTACATACAGAATCCTTCTGCCTCTATGCAATTATCACACTTTGCTCATTCCTGCAAATTCCCTATTTGTATAAATGCAAAGTACTAGCAGCCAAATTCCTTGTATGTACCATAATCACATGCAGGTCCAGTGTTTAGGCTTTTCCTTTATACAAAAATGCCAGCTTTCCTCAGCCTAATATTCCTGGGGTATGTTGAGGCCAGCTGAAGATGCAGCCTTGGCTTCCTCTTATTTTCATATTCCAGGTCCCGTGTTTGTCTGAACTCAGACACAATATCTAAGATAAGAAGGCAGCACTTGCCCAGATGAGGAGAGTTACCACGCTGTGAATCAATGTGTGAATGTACAGCACATTTGTACTTCACCAAATCTGTGGGTGGGCACACACAGAGGGCTGCTCACAAGCCTGGTGCAAACCTGCTCCCTGCTCTGCACGGGGGGAGCCATCTGACACTTCCCTCCTGCACTGGGGTACTCCCTGCACTGGGGTACTCCCTGCACTGGGGTACTCCCTGCACTGGGGTACTCCTGCCACGCTGTCAGGGACAGTCACACCAGCGCTGACTGTGCACCAACCTCTCCTCTCAGGCAAGTGTGCAGAGTAAAGCACAGAAATGTCTGCCTGGGCATTTGCTCAGGAGCAGAACAGATGCAGTTTGCAGAGACCTGGCGAGCGAAGCCTTTGAAAAATGTGGTACTTTCTGCAGGAGCACCTACACAGCTCGTAAGTGTTTTAAAAATTGCACATGGGTTTGTCTGAGCCCACAGTTCCCATGCAGGCAAGTTCTCTGTGAAATTTCTGGAGCTGCACTGTGTTACCTTCATGCAAATTGAGGAGGATAAAAGCACATCGTGCACTCCTCTATCTTACTAATCACTGCTACCATAGTTGTGGAGAACTCTGCCTATCGTGCCCTGTGCTATTAAGGATTCTTGGGAGTATACACACACATAACTAGACTTGTAACATATAGGAGTCCACTTCAAAAATAGACTTAACCTATGCAAATAATGCATACAGCATGTCTTAGATTTCAGAAACAAACTCCAAGCTGTACTTGGTTTTAAATATCAAAAGGCACTATAAATGTAGTTTTAATCAGAAATTAATTGATTGACTGATTTCAAATACCATTTTTATGTGATCCAAAAGCCCCAGACTCACAGTTTCAATTTAAAGTTTAAGAACTCTTGAAATACAAATTTAAAGAAAAATTTTTAAGTTACTATCAGAGTAAGATGAGTTCCTAGCTTTTTTTTTTGTCATGAATGCTTAAAGATTAGCTTTGACAAATTTCTGACTCACTTTCAAATAAGTAAATATGTAAGCAGGTGCTTAAAGATTACAGTAATCAAGTTGTAACCCTACGATTATTTGATAATGAAATATTACAGCTAACTGATTTGTACTTAACTATATGGAAAAATAGCACTCAAATTACCATCTTCACAGACACTTTGTAAGATATTCTGATTATTCCATTTAACTTCATTTAACAGGAACCAGGATTCACTGGTCTGAAGCTAGCTAGTGCTGTCAACAGACTCAGGAAGAACACTGGCCTTAAATGAATTCTCTGCCATCCTGAATAATTTTCAGGGCTACAAGCTGCTGCACTTTCATAGCAGAACTTTTTCAGGGTATATATGAGTGCCTTTTTCAGAGGTACACAGGATGGCCAATGGCACTTGAAGGTCTATTAAAAAGCCTGTATGTGTTAAGGGTTTAGTTGTTGGAAGGGGAAGGGGGCCAGGGGTCTGTTTAGAAACAAAGTTACTTATTTTTTTTTAAATGATCCACCTTCTACTCTGCTTTCCAGGTACTTGTCCAATTCTGCCTCTCTTTTCACCGCCTCTGGTGATACCTTTGGTGCATTCGGAAAACAGATCAATATCACACTCATGTTGTCTCGACTTCCCTGGTGGAAAAGAAAAAATGATTTGAGAAATATATACACACTAGGCTAAACACACATCAAAGCATTTTAAACACAGAAATTCACAAATAATATGGTTTCAGAATTCAACTTTCACTATTATGGATTAATATTATCATTAGAATTAATCTCCCTGTACCCCTTACAGAATTCCAGGCCCATTCATTTGGTACAACTCTTAAGTCAATGTTTTTTCCTCTTTTATCGTCTTAAGACTACATGGAGCCAGTTACAGACACCCCATTATTGTCTAAAAACTGAGATTAGTAATGAGTGATATATAATTACAAAGTTGTGTTCCATCTTGCTTTAAGTACCATCCAAGCATTTTGGGAAAACAGCTGAATGGGTGAACAAAACTGCTCAAAAGCACTAATCAGGAAGGTGCTGAATTCAGACAGTGCTTCCACCAAACATCACAGCTATTAGTGAGAGAATTTGTTAGAAAACCAGCTGTAAGATACCCAGGTATTTGCAAAAACTGTTTACATTTAAAAGCAAATAAAGGAACCCCAATACTTGAATATTTAAAAATACAAACACATTCTGCTTATGCAAAGTAACTGTTTGGTTTACTTTCAATACCCCTGTGCTTTGGCTACAAACATGAATCCATAGACTTAACTTTTAACACTAATTAACTCCACTGATATCAGCAAGATCAGGAACAAGCAAGTGTGCAGAACAACAGTATATGGGTATGGGGAGGTGCTGACAGTTGGCTCCTGCAAAGCTTACAGTATCCACAAGCCACTGTTCCTCTCCTGGTATTTGTTTTTAGGATTACCAAACAAAAAATGTAAACAAAAATATAACCATTATCAATCTGCCAAGGTGCTGGTAAGCAATTACAATTTTCCAGATGGGAAGCAATGATCCTGTTAGCCACGTGGGAAGAGCAGGGATGTTGTCTTGTTTCTTTAGAAAAATGCCGGCTTTTCTACTCTGTAACTTCCAGTTTGCCTTTGCAAAATAAGTATCAAGCTATGAAACTCAGTAACTGCATCACACTGCAACTTATTAATACAAAGTAGAAGTTAATGCAGACAAAGTTACATAGTTTTGTAAAACCAAATAGTCTCATCTTCTACTTGAGCTGATTTCAGAGTTGTATTACACAACAGTGAATAAGAAATATAGTATGATTCTGCATTGATTCTGCATTTATCTTGATGTAAATATGACACTAATGTTACTACTATGTGCCCATGAAAGCAGGGGAACATCAGGAAGGGGAAAAATACTCTCTAGCCTGATTAAGTCTTAAGAGTTAAGGTTTTGTAAAGTATGCTATGAAACAGAAAAGGGCAGTTATTGTCTTTAGCTTGCCCATAAATTCCCATCAGCTTCTACTTTTCCACTGATCACAGTGTATCTGTACATGATTATAACCCTTTAATCAACCAAAACCACCCAGAAAAACATTGTTTCTGTTGTGTGTTCCTTCCCCCTCTGTCACCATTTTTGTAGGAAACATGGTCATCACTGTCAATGTCATGTTACCATAAGCCATTGAATATTTATAGACTGGAAGCAAAGTTAATAATAACTTGTTCATAAACTTCTAATAATGAAACTCCTTCTCTCAAGTCTGGCTACCTTGTACAAGCAGGTGTCAACTATCTCATTGCAAACTTTCTCAAGGTCATCAGTGACTTCAAGTCTGGATCTTACAAAGTCACACAGCTCTTCATTTCCCATAACATCCCAGATACCGTCGCAAGCCAGGATGATGAACTGATCATCTTCTTCTGATCTCTCAATTTCATAAACTTCAGGCTCAGGTGAGACCAGCTGTTCTGTAGGACCTTTCCCATGGACACATTTGTAATCAAAGTCCCCAAGTGCCCTTGAAACAGCAAGGGAGCCATTCACACGCTGAATCATTACAGAGCCACCTGCATTCTGTATACGCTCCTTCTCCAGAGGGTTACTTGGTTTGTGATCCTGTGTGAAGAAGTGAACCTTCCTGTTTCGACAGAGCAAACCTCTCGAGTCTCCACAGTTGATGAAGTATGTGTGTTGGGGAGAAATCATGACACCCACAGCTGTTGACCCACTTCTGTCTGCGCCATGCTTCTTCTCAGAGATGACTCTCATGTGTTCGTCAATCTGCAGAAAACCTGTTCTGATGCCGCACTTTACACTTTCCACAGATGGTGGCCCATCTGGCCCTTTAAAATCCTGGTTGCTCGTGATGTGATCTAATAAATGCTCACAGCAGTACTTGGCAACCTGTGATCCAGCGTGCCCATCATAGACAGCAAAAAAGGACCATCCATCAAGTCCATTTGGCAAACCAATCACAGCCGTGTGTGCATCCTCCATTTCCACACGCCAGCCTTGCATACTGCTTAGCCCGTAACGCAGCCCATTCCCCTGCCCCTGGGCATTATGCTTCTCCATCTTTGGCTTGTCTAAAAATGCTCCCATGGTGACCTCCCTTCAGTTCTACAAAGGAGAAAAAGAAAGAATTATTAAGGTATTTCATAAACGTCTCATTTAAATACCCTGTTGGAAGATATTAAATAATAGTGCAAGTAATGTTAAGATGACCAAAATACACAGCTATAAAGCTGAGTTTTCTGTGTCTCCAGTCAAATTTGCATTGCTTTCATCTAATTTGAACAAGGACACTACTACTAGCTGAACTGTACTTTTCATATTTTTGTATTTTCAGCTGTTTTACTTGAAAAATTTATATTCACTGTCATTCATGGTTCTGACAAAAGCCTCTAATAGAACTATGTATGAAACCAGTTTCAAAGAGGACTTGTTAACTGGCACACATCTGAATGGCTGTTCCCTGCAGCTACTGAGCCATGAAAGAGTTCAATGTTTCCAGGACACTGGCATTCCCTAGATCCCTACCTGCTGGCCACAAATTCCTGCTAACACTGCTTTTCTGGTACTGATGAGAAAATGAAAGCAAACTGATTAGGTTTTTTTTCAAGAAGGGGGTTTTCAGGGTTTTTTGGGTTCGGTTGTTACTTGTTTTTTTTTAGAAACAGATAAATGATAAGAATGACTAAGAGGATGCCAGAGTCTGCAAAAAAGAAAAAGCAACACTGGATAAACTAGCAGCAGGACTGGGAAGGAACAGAGCAGCTGTCCCTTTAGGCAGCAGCAAGCCATTAGTTTGGCTCAGCCATCTTGTGAAAGCTCATCCTTAGATTTTCGGTTAAATTACGCAGCAGCTTCTCAGATGTCTGTGTTGCAGATTTACTTAAAACCCTCATGTATTCATGCTTCACTGAAAGACAACTGCCCCTGACAAGTCTGATGAAATCTGTTTGGAAATAAAATCACACGTATTGTATATTCTTGTGTGAATCAAGATTCAAGCCAGACCCATACACTGCACACCCTCTCCTCCTTGGGATGTGATGCAGCAAATATTCATGCTTAACAGAATAAGAGTTATATTTGCAGGCAGTGTAAACTGACTGGTTTATCTTCATGGTTTTCACACCCTAACCATCCAACCCACCCTTCTAATCCACATCCCTTTATTTGTGCACTCATTATTAAAAAATCATACAAAATAGGTCACACATTTTACATACTTGCAAATTATGCCTTGGGAAGCATCAAAGAATCTGCAAATCACTGTTATACAATAGAAAGTAATGGAACAAAACTATGAGCTTTACTATTTGAAGACTGTGGACAAAAATTAGCTGTGAAAAGAACCTCAGAAACAGATTTTACCTGAGGCCCCAACTAACAGCTGCACTAGCAGAAAAATCAGTACACTAGGAGTTTTAGAAATGTTTAACTTGACCATGGAATATATTTGACCAATTTTCTAAGTGACAACATCACGTTTTTATAACATGCTTTTATTGCAATACAGCACCAGCCATTAATGACACCATATATCCAACAAAGCTCTTCACACTGTCTCTTCCAGCCACTGCCAACCTTTCTGAAACATCTGTGTTAGAATAAACAGTCAAGGAATGTTTATATTTGATCTCACCACAACAGTGATTCAAATGTGAGGCACGGGGACTGGTTATGCACTCTTTGGCTCACATGCTTTGTTAACGAAAACAAAACACATACTTGAGCTGTATGGAGATGGCAGCAGTGATTCACCTCTGTTTCCCCTCACCCCAAACCCTGCTCTGGAGTTCTATCTCTCAAGTGAACACAAAATACTGATGCCCAAGCAAGCTGTAACTAACCAACAAAACAGAGCGTGCACAGTGTGTCTTGTGTCCCGAGCACAGGCAGGAGGTTCACATTACTGCAGTTGCTAGGAAAAAAATACGACTTAAGACTTTTTTATCTTCGCATGCAACTCTAGTGAAGTCAGAGTGATCAAAATAATTACAGAACGCTGCTATAAATCACATGGGGAATTATTTTGCTGAATAATACTTTTTATTCATTCTATGATAGAAGCAGAGTTTAACACCGAATGCTGTCTTTGTTGAGGAGACCATAAAACAGAATGCAGATACTCAACTTTTTCACCTTAATTTAGAGCTCAAAAAGCGGAAACTGCCCTGGCAAATATACTTTAGTGAGGTATTTGATATTATTGCTATATTTAAAATAAAACAGAAAAACATTAAGAACAGGATATATTTACCCTGACCACAAACACTGCTGAAATCTGGACCAAAAAGGGCCATTTTTCTTCTAATCTCTCACTTTAGTGTGTACACAACATTCAGAGCTGTGCTTTGTAAACTGCTTGTCCGGCTCAGTAGTTTGTCATGTAAATTAGAAAAATCTACAGACAGTCTATGTGTAACAACTACAGAACTGCCAGACACCTTCTAAATCACTCTCCATTAAAATACCAAATTGCCTTATCCCTTCCCAGAAGGAACCTTAAGGCTGGTGGCCTTTCAAGCTAATAAGCTTTGTAGTTGAGATGTTGATCCAGGATTCTTCAGGGGTGAGAGCTGCCCACCATGAATGAGAATACAGCCGGGCAAAAGGAAAACCACAACGTGGCCATGGAACAACTCCTTCAGAAACTGCCCGCAGCATGAAGTGATTCCCTTCTGAAAACTGCAATAGCAGACTGCAGTTGTCTTCCCTGCCACACTCCAGCTAACCAGCCTTTCACCAGAACAGCAGTCTAAACCTGCAGAACAGGCCAGGTTTTCAAAATCCCCACTGTATCTGCAGAAAAAGCATTGTTTACTTGTGCATAGGATGAATGTGCTAGACCTTTACATTTTTTCCAGAATTTCAATTCTCATTCAGAAAAATTTCAGTTAAAACTGACCAGTCTGTGAATTCTGATGAATTGGAGACTACCTGCTACTTTACTCCTCATACCCTTAATGTGTAGTTAAAATCTGAAGAATTTCAAGAGTCTTAGCTACGAACAAAAAACCTCTTAGTTTTACAAGAAGGGATGGACACACAAAGAGAAATGCTGACATAAGAAAGCCATGCCTCCTTCCTACTAAAATACCCTTTAGACCTGTTTTTGAGTCCATATCTACGGAAACATCTTTCACACACCAGTGTCTACCTAAATTATGAGCACATTTGTCATTCTTTGATGAGGTGCTTTGTGCACTACAGTGACTGAGTTGGAATGACACCTTTGGTTAAGCACATAACTCTGTATGCAAATCTGATTAACCTACAGCAGTGCAAGTGCCCAAGTTACAGCATGACTTTGTTATGTAAAAACACAGACCCAGAACAGACTGCATGCAATGCATGCAATACATAAGACAGATCCTGAACATGACTTAACTCCACCTCTCTTTATGTCTTTAGTCACCTTTCTTAAAAGGAGCCCTCATTTTATGATCTTTATTCTCCAAATAATTTTACTATCTTAATCCAGTCACATATTTCAACAATCATGCCAGAAAATTGCAGTCTCATGGCAGGAGACAGAACCAGTCCTCTACTCTGGAAGCCTCAGCTTTTGGGATGCTTGAATAATGCACATATGTACTGAAGGAAACAGACCCTCTTCCTATTAAAGGCAAAGTAAGAGAAAAGGCACTTTAATCATGAAGTTTACTGGCAAACATACACCACCTTATTTTTCCTTTAAGAAGGACCATTCTGAACAGTACTGTAAGGGTAGTGCCTTGTAAAAAGGTCAGAGGTGCAACATTTTCTTCCTAAATGGTGACTCTCACATATCATCTGGTGCTACAAATGCACAGCCATCGGCCAAGCAAGTTTAAATTTTAATCTAGGATGATTTTTGGATCAGCATTACTGACTTCCATTAATTTCAGGTCGTAAAAGAAAAGAGCTTTCTGCAACCAAAGTTTCTGGATTTTGGCTCTGAAGAACAGAGAGGCATCTGAACAAAGCTAGATGTGAAAATGGACCCCTGTGAACGGAAATGAATGTGCAGGGAATGCATCTCTGCATCTACAAGTGCATTTTAACCACGATTTCTAAAGCACTGATTTTGTAGAGGTCAAACTGAAGGACAGCCTCTCCAGCAAGTGCACAGAAAATTCAAGTTGCAGTTTGCAGACAGAAAAGTAAGAATACTGTACACGGCCTAGAAAAATCAACACAAATAACAAGATCTTGGATAAAACACAAGAGTGCCAAAATTCAAAGGACTGCAGCATTAGAAACAAAACTGAAATAATGAATGGAACATGCCAAAGAGTCAGTAGCTAAACTCCTTGAAAGTAGATGCAACTGGAGAACAGAGTGGCAAAGAAAAAGGAGAGTAATTAGTATACCAGGCCATGGACAACCACGGACAACCACAGATACATCACTGGAATGCATGAAATCTCTCTGCCCCTTCATTTGTTCCTCAAATTGTGCTATCCAGGCAGCACAACTGTAAAGCTTTCTGCTACAGAGGAAAATAAATTTTACTGTTTTGCTATTTGCTTGTTCATTTGCCTGAAGATTCAAATGAACATAAGCCCTAAATGGTTCACAAAGGACAGTTAATACAACTCCACATACCCCTACAAAATACAAATTTATTTTTCCAAAGAATTTGAACAAAGATTTGATCATTTTGTCCAAGAAAACGAACCACCCCCATCTGAAACTTTCCCTTGAATAATATGTAAATTAATAATCCTTTTTAAACAATGGTCAAGTTGTATTCATTCCAGTAGGATAAGCTGCTTACATGAACCACATTGAAGTCACAGGCACTTGTTCTAAGCTGAGAAATACCCCCGCACTCCAATTTCCTGGAACAATTCTCTCAGTGACATTACACCCCGTGTGTTGTAATGAGGATCACAGAGAAAGATTACAACCTTTACTTGAACTACAGGACACAGAGCAAGTCACCAAATTATACAGACTGCTACTGACTAGAAAAAGGACATTTGTTCACTTCAACTCCAGCCTGATCCACAGTACTTTTCCCTCTGCCTTAAGCAGGCTGGATGCAGTAGCAGACAGCATGTAATGGTGCAAACGTGGAAACATTTTCAGAAGTTACAGTCTGTTGAATGAAAAACTGACAGTAC